GCAAGCCATATCATCGTAAATTCTTCACCAAATCGCAAGATTGAGCCACCAATTTCGAAGGCTTCGTTCTCCTTCATGCGGCCCAAATAGTCCAATTACCCCGAAAATTCAGGAAAAAAGTTATGAAAGAAAAGAAACTTTATTTGCGAATAACTAAAAAATTACACCCTTTTCCCTATGGGTTATGCCCATGATTATATAAAAGATTCCTGAATTCCCTACAAAAGGAAAAAAAAATCATCGAAATCGGACAATTTTTAGAAAAGATACAGCTTATTGAATTTCGTAAACAACATGTTGGTTCCAAACATTATTGGAGATTTAAATTAATTTTTGTTTCCTTTGTCGATTATATTTATCGATTGATTTCTTAATCTTTTGATATGTCGCATTATTTCATTTTCTTATTAATTTGGCATTTTATGACAATATGCTGTGCGAATTTTTCGCACGGGCCTACTAGTATTTATTAATTTATCAAGTTAAAAAAAATGTTTTTATGAAATAGATTTTCTATAATATTACAATATATATATTTTTTTTTCTGTAGGATTGCTATCCGTAAAATTTTTCCGTTACCACTTTAGAGTGGATAACAAGGTGGTGATAGATTTAGTTGCGTACCTAGACCATATGGGCGCCTAAAAATGATAATTCGCAATAAAGTTATCATTCAACAAAAATAAGAGGATCCTAGCCGAGTAGCCCACTTACTAAAAAGACAAATCGATAAAACTTTTAAAGGCAATAATAACGTTTTAATTTTAAAATAAGGGAGGCAGAGGTGCCCATCCCTCCCAAAGTCGATGGCGCAAAAACCTACCTCTTTCCCCCCCTCCTCCCAAGATATTTTATTGCTCACTTTTCTTAAAAACAGAGTAAGCTAAGGTAGAATTAGAAAAATCGTAGATCATATACACTATATCATATACATACTTGCTGTGGTATGTTCCTTGTTTTCCTCTTGTTCCCTTAGTCCGAAAATTCATTATCCTGTCGAAATTCGCCCCCTTAAAAATTTTGATGGTGCAACTTGCGCCGTAAAACCTCCTTCTGGACACCCCTGGATGGAAGTCACTACAGCTAAGCCATCTTAAAAATTGTAGATCGGGGAAGACCGTTCCCTCGTCCCTCTCTTAGGTACGCCATTGGATAGATGCCATGTAAGAGCAAGATGTAAAATTGAAACTTCTCCATACAATTAGTTATATGTTATGATAATATTTTTTTCATATTTGGTTATTCTTATAAATTATTTAAAACAAGAATTATGAAAGTAATAAAAATAAATTTTACCATCAACTACTGATATTAGATTATTATTCTCTGGTTTTCAAGTTTGAAGAATTTTTATTTTATTATTATTATTATTATTATTTTTTTATGGAAATCCTTGTTTTATGAATATGAGGCTGAATAAAAGATTTTAGGAATAACCATCCTGAGGGAGAGATTGTATTGATCCGGAAAGTGGTTGGTAAGGTGTGGACGATAACACTGGTCGCGCATCCCCTAACATAAATTTCCATACTTACATAACACCCCTAACGAGAAAAAAGAAAAGACGTGATCCTCAGATTTCATTTGTTCAAGTTTGTTATCTCGCTGCCTAAAACTTTCTTCAACGCTAATCTCAAAGAAATGTTCTGTAACGGAAAAAATGTGTGGTTTAGTTGAATTATATATAATCTTTTTTAATTAGGTTTAATGATTAATGTTTCCCTGAGTAATGGCCATACCAGTGGTGATACTTTTTCGTCTATGCACGGATTTTATACTTTTTTAAATATATAATTAACTACATACAACTTTTTAATTCTTATCCAGCTGTAGTGATAATAAATATTGTTGACTGAATCAATACCTAAACAAATAAGACAAAAAAACCAACTTAATTATTTAGTTTTAATCATAATACTTTCAATTATTCAAGTGTCACAACATTCATATTATATTACACAACAAAAGATATTGGTCAATAGATAATTTATAAAAATTATTGAATAATTTAAATTATTCACATAATAAATTATTTGATTAAGGATTCAATTTTAAAAACCCGTTAATCATTTTCCATGTGACAGATTTTTATTTTTAACATTTGTAAAATTTTTAAAAATATAACTTTGCATTGTTAATTTCATAAATTAGTTTTTATCGCAGTAAAGATTTCGTAATACACTTAAAGTGTTGTAAATGTCAAAAAAACAAGAAGTGTTAACAATACTTGAGATTGTATCATCGTTCATTGTTGCTTAAGGTCATTAATTTTATCGTTTTGTTTTTATTATTATTTGAGTTTTCCATCTATCTTAGGTTAAATAAACACTTTAAAACATTGTTAATCTATTCTGTAAATGCTGAATTCTTACACTACAGTTAATTCTCTTGGTTGGGTTATTCACTTCACGGTACATAGTAGATACACGGGTACACAATTGGCTACATTGACTATAAACTACACAGACTCATATTTTAAGGAGCGTTTAGATATTCCACAAACTATGGAAAATACAATTATCTAACTTCACTAACAGCGACATTATTGCTAAACTAAACTGTTTATTTTATTTCTCTTGATGCACACAACAGATAGAAAATATTAAAAACAAGAAACAAAAATACTAACATAGTGAAATAACCATTCATATATTTGTTTGTGCTATAGTTTGTGAAATGTCTGAACGCACCTTTACACATTATCTTATCAACGAGATTTATCTTACTAAAAACTAAAATATATATATATCTGAATTTTGGAATCATCTAAGAAATAAAAAAAAAAGATATGTCGGTGAGGTTTTGAAGACGGTGAATACTCGTAGTTACCCATTACATATATATATACTTTAGAAATATATATACATTAAATTTTAATAAGCACCCATTGTTCGGTGATTGCTCACAAACAGGTGTACCCATCCCACCCAAGGTTAATGGCGCAAGAACCTACCCTCCCCTCCTCGTCCAAGGATATTTTATTGCTCATATTTTCTTAAAAAACAGAGCAAGCTAAGATAGAATTTAAAAAATCGTAGATTATTTACAACTACACTTCCTGCAGTCTGTTCCATGTATTTCTCTTGTACCTTAGTCCGAAAATTCATAACCCCGTTGAAATTTGTCCCCCAAAAAATACAAAAATCCGTCAAAATATGGCCCTCAAAAATTTTGATGGCTCAACTTGCTTCATGAAACCCCCTTCTGGGCACCACTGCTTAAAATGCTAAAACATTAAAACAATAAAATTATAGGGAAACATTATTTACAATAATGGAAGAGACTTATTGGAAAGGCAACTTAACCCGAAATGGATAAATATAACGTTTTAAAAAATAATTTAATTTTTTTTTGTTATTCAGCCTTATCTCGACAAAATGTAATCAAGTGTTCTCCTCTTATATTTAATATGTTTTATTAAAATGCTTTGGACCAATATCTTGTTTTTTTTCCTGTAATATTATGTATGAAATTTTCAATTTAGTTGTTTTCCCAAGTGAGCTCCTTATTGTTATGACTATGATAATTACGAAAAATGATTCAGTCTAATATTAGGCTTACGATGATGCACTAACTAAATAAGGAAACTGCTTCGCCTGAGATCCTTCTGTTTTAATAGTGTGCTAAACATGCTATTTTTATCAGTGATCAACACTGTCCATTGAATCGCTTAGTACTGGATTTCCCTGCACTATAAAAGTTTTATACATTTTTTTCTGCTTAAAATTATTTAAATTAAACACTTTTTTTTACTAGAAAATTAATCAAGTGCTATTTTTTTTTATCTCAATGTTTTCATTATTACGAGGAAAAATGATTAAAATTTCTTTTAAATATTAATAATAAAGCATTCCTTTACTCATTCAACTGACCCATGTTTATTTTACGGCCCCATTTAAAAAACTAAGTTATGAGGTATAACAATACTAAGGTTTTGGTTAATCAATAGACTTTTATAAGACCTATTGAAGATTATCAGTGAAAACACCATTATCATTTTATAATTGAAGCAAACCTTTACCGAGCTTAAAATAAATATAAAACAAAACAAATATATCTTTTAATAAACTCTAGATATAGTGTTCAACTGGCATAAGAAATAATCTGTTGTTTTTCCCCTTGTATAAAATTGATCGAACTTATCGCTTTATCAAATTGATTGAAAACACTTCATATTATCTTTTGGAGAGCAGCGTGCGATTCATTGGATATTAAGGATTTTTTTTTAAATTTTCAGTTGTATAATAATTTAAAAACTACTAGTAAACTGTGTTATAAACTTGTCAAATAATCACAAACAAAAAATAAAAAAAATACTTATGTCAATTAAATCTTTTCAAAACTATGTTTTGTAGCTTCCTCTATTATCTATTTTACCATGTACTACATTTTAAATAACTGAGGAGTAGAGACTTCAACAGTAATTTTATGTTCCAGAAATAGGAGAGAATACAAAATATAATCAAACAAGAGAATTAATCGTGTCAGTACACATATATATCAACAAACTAAAATATATCATTGGACTTTAATGTATGGGATAGGTTGGATATTTGTTGAAATTTATCGTTGAAATTGATCTAAATCTGTAACAAAGTATTTTGCGATAAGTATCGTATGTGTACGTTTATATCTTTTCTAAAAAATCATAAAATAAGTAAAAATTTATCGTCGGTTTATTGCAAAAAATCATTAACATTTTAGGAAATGAGCTAATGGAATAATTCGATAAATTTTTCCAATGTGAAAAATTAACTAAGTATGCTTTATGTATTTCTGACACAAATTATGGCTGATGCAATTTTAAAATACTCAATCATTATTTTCGCCTAAAAAAAAAATGATCGAAATTCACATATACGTATTTAAAAGTTTAGCTCCAATAAAAGTGTACTTAATGACTTTTCGCAATAAACCGGCTGTATAAATAATCGTGGTTGTGACTTCTTACTTAAATAATCAATATATATTCATACCTATAAGCTGTCGTTCTAACATCCATGATTGTTGGACTGGGGATCACGTATACCACAGAACCGCCAATATCATTTGCAGTGTTGTCACAGCGCTTATCTGCGACTGGTAGAGGAAGTTCAAGTACTTTCCTTGTTCATATTTTTAGTCTCGCTTTGTATCCAAACCCAACCCACCCAGTGGAGCTCCAGTGAATTTCCTCGTGCGATTGTGTCCAATTTTCAATAGCAGTTCACAATATGAGTTCTATATATCCAACAATAATGCCCCATCATGTAAGTATGAAGCATTTTATATTATATTACTATCCAATTTAAAATATAATTAATACCGAGTACATTTTCCTAATTAGCTTCAGTGGATGATACAGCTTGTAAAATATGTGTCCCTTATCTTGGATGTCTATTTAAGTAACATTTGATGATAAAGTTTAATTGAAAAGAATTAAAGAAGTAGGCAATGTGTGTGCTTACTCAGTTGATGGTCGGTCAACTCCTTAACTATTTCAATGTGTCAAACCAGAAGAAAGATGTTTGAAAAAAAAATTGTATGCGGGTTATATACTTTCCTCAGACATTAAATAATAAAAATACAGATAATACTTTAACTTAAGAATTTTCTAAATTTAATATTTATATATTACCATCATTTGGCATACTTTACTGAAATTGACCAAATGGAAAAAAACATTACCTGAACTGATCGGCTTTGCTATTATTTTGGAATTTAAACTACCTTTTATTAGTTTTTTTTTAATCATTATTGCGTTAATGCAAATAAATTTTCCTAAAGCATTCAAATGTTACAACTAACATTTGTAGAACTTTCAACTCCTTTGATACACATAATCTATATTTTATGACGTAATTAACATCCAATTATTTAATTGCCTACAATCATTTTGATGGTTACTTCGTGAAGTGAAAGCAATTAACAACAAATAACAAAAATACACATAAATTCAAACAGCCTTATTTTTATAATGCGGTTTTCCTTACACGGAAAATAGAGATAGTAATTATTAGTTTCGCCCAATGGGATATAACCCGCATATTCATTGTATATGAAATTATTTCCGCAATCCTCTAGCGGAGAACTATAGAACTATTTTTTCGATAGTTTTATTTTTAGATATTTAATATGTTGCTTATCTTTAGTAATTTCATTTTTAAAGTAATTAAAACATGATTTACATACATTTTAACGATCACGATCTCCTGTATTCTATTCGCTAACCCGTCGAAGATAGAACCTGTCAGCAGGCTTAAATAGCTAGTGGTAATATGGCAAATGCCATGGGCCTCGGGTTTGGAAACGAGTGTTTTGTTCACGAATATATAGCCAATTTCAAAATTCTTAAATTAAGATCTGCAACAAGGTGGAATTCCCTTTTATATTAAATCTACATTTAAGTTTATTAATCGTTTTTGAGTTAATGGTAGATTGTACTATAGTAAAGTAGAAAGATTGTTAAAGATGCAACTAATTAGAATAAAAATGATTCCTGTTGTAAATAACAGATAGCATACTCCCAATTAACATACATCTGGACTGTTTTTGTAAAATATTTTTGTTTTTTTGGCATTATATTGAGAAAAAAATCATTAATAATTTAAAAACAAAATTCATGTGTGGTATCAAATTATAAGAAATTTTATTCTTAAAAAGAATATAATATTGGTTTTTGAAAATTATAGAGAGTAACAAAATTGTAGTCGAAAAAAATTTAGGATTTCCAGACTGGTATGGAGACGGTTGACCGTAGATTCTAATTTCAAAGAAGTTTGTCTCTGGTGTGGTAAAAAAAAAATACTATTTATATAATAGTATATTTACTGTATTGTCCAACATTTCGACCTACGTTGTAGGTCTTCTTCACGGCGTAGTCAAAACATTCGGTCTGCTACTGTAGAAGGCAGTACGGCGACAGGGACCTACAACGTAGGTCGAAACGTTGGACAATGCAATAAATATACTATTATGTAATAGAGCATTTTTTGGTACTCCTTAAATAGCCGGGCGGGACCGATTGCTATCTATCAATATTTATAACCTTAACATTGAGAATCCTTATAAGGCACTGATAATTCCTATTTTCGTATTCATAATTATTGTATTATATTCATATTATTGATATTGTATACAAAAACAAAAACAAATGTTATAATAAAAAAATACTGTATAATATATACAACATATATGTTAAATTGACGAAAACAAATATAATAAGAACAAAACAGTTTGATTTGAAATTGAAATAGTAAAAAATAAATGAAATAATTCCCACAACAATTTTACAATAATTAGGATTTAAAAAACGCTGCTTGGGCTCAAAATTATTATTCTAATTCAGTCTTTATTATTCTTTAAAAAGATTATCCTTAAATGCAGTCTACCACACAGTTAGATATAGTTTGTGACATTCAAACCATGCAATGATCCACAGATACCCAGAAGCAAGTTTTATGGCGAAAGTTGCGCCATCAAAATTTTTGAGGGAAGCATATTTTGAAGAGTTTTTTTCATTTTTGAGGGGGCCACATTTTGAAGGGGTTATGAATTTTTGGAATGAAGAATTTTATACTAAGGGACAATGAGAAAACATGGAACAGACCATCACACCAATTGTAATTGTATATGATTTACGGTTTTTCGAATTCTATCTTAGCTTGCTCTGTTTTTAAGAAAAGGTGACCAATAAAGTATCTTGGGAGTGGGGGAGTAGGCTTTTGCACCATCGGCCTATGGTGGGGGGGAGGCACCCTTGCAACAATCTATTGGAGAGGAGACTTGCAAAATTTTAATTTTTGTTCACGTATTAACAAGGTTTGACATTACAACTCATTTACTTGACAAAAGTCCCTCTTTAATATTAATCTGTACATTGAGGATGAGAAGCTGTGGAAGAAGGTTCAGGAAGCCTCCAAACTGAGAATACATAAATAAATGTTTTACAGTTTAATTGCTTTTATTTTTTTATTTATTCATTTTTTTTATGTTGAATAATTTATCAATATTATTTGTAGCCCATGAATGATGGATTGTTATATTCTCCTACATCTGACATAAAAAAAAAATTAAAACAAAAACCTGCAATTTAAATAAATTAAATACATTTCAAAATGAACAACCTAAAAACATTTAATAATTAAATATCCTTCTCTTTCAGGTGGAGCTGGCAAAAACGTCAGCTGCTGAGGCAGAAAAGGGACCATTCAAAACAGCTCCTTTTGATCCACGTTTTCCAAACCAGAATCTGACAAGGTATCACTGAGTTCACTTTTTCATTTTATTTCATTTAGAATTCATATATTTGCACTGTGTTGTCTTCAAAAACTTTAGAAAATGTCTTATTTATATTACTGTTATTTTATGTGGTTCGCACACCTCATGCTCATAATTCATTTTTCATCTTGGCCTTCTTGAAAGTTAATTATTTCATAAGGTGTTTTTCTTATCACCTCAGAACTAGATCCACACTCCTGAGAAGAGTCCGGTCTGTATCCTTACATCCAGTGGATCATGCTTAAAATGGCTCTTGATTATTATTAATTCTTCAATAGAAATTTCAATGCTTGAGCTGATCAACTTCCTTGCTTGTTTTCCCTACTCTGTTCTTTCCTCCTTTGCCATTGCCTTTCCTCTTATATTCCTTTGTTATAGAGATCCACTGATGCTCTTGTATATGCTATGGATCATAGATCGGTATGCCTGGTTCTTGATATCTATGACTCACGAGCATTCCACACCTGACCAATTACGACAATATTCACAATATAGAATATTAGTAATTTTGGTCTCATCCTATCTTGAGAACTTATGTATCAGTATTAGTAGTTGTGTGCATTGAAATTACTGTTTATTCATTTTTTTTCAAATAATTTAAAATTTATTATAGTAATAGGCTGTGAAATAAATAATAATAATGAAAATAAATTTAATTTAAAAAAACAAAAGTTTGGCATTGATTTTGGAAACTTTTCGAGGTCAGAGTTCTCAATCCCTTAATAAAATAAATTGGGTTTCGTTCAATAAATATTTTAGGTGCACATTAAAAATCTTTTTATTTTTATTGTTATCAATCCTGTATAATTAGAACTCAAATTTCCTTCTCATGGTAGAATATATTATCCCAAATCACTCTCATGTTTCCCAAAATAAAAAGTAATGCATTTGAGTTTTTATTTGCATTGCAGTTTTTATTTCCTGTATTTTTGATATTTAAATTCAGTTGATATATAAACTAATATTTTGCAGGTATTGCTACCAGAGCTATATTGACTTTCAAAAGTGCAAGCAATTTAAGGATGAAGAATATGAGGCCTGCCAATATTTCAAGGGAGTTATCAAGTCTATCTGCCCAAAGGCTTGGATTGAGAAATGGGATACTCAGGTGGAAGAAGGGGTTTTTGCTGGGAGGTTATGAATAACTATTAATCACATTTTGAGTTGGTTTATTTTGTTATGAAAAATAGATATTTAATTATAAATTTCTATACTAAGATTTGCAATGCATAATTTAATAGTTAAGACATAGTTACTTATTCATATATTTATATTTTTTAATATGATTTTCTGTATTACAGTTGAATTATCTCATCAATTTCAAAATAAAATTGTATGATAATTAATTATTACCTCACATTTCAGTAATGATTTGTTTTTAAATTGTATTCTGAGAATAGATTTGATATGTAGATATAAACAAAGAATTGAAATAAGTAGTATTCTAGTTATTAAAATGGTTAATAATAATTATTTTTATCATATAATTACACTACCAATATTTGATGATTATTCGCAAGGTAATAAATTATGTTATCTCAGTTAGACCCATAGTCTCTTAGTTAATTATGCCCATTTTCCTCATAAATATATATGTATATACAACTTTATTCCCACATGCTGATGTATCACCAAGTTTTAAAGTTTAAAATAAGCTTTTTTTTATTAGAAAATGTTCATTTAGATCCATTTAGCATATCAGTTTGTTCTTCTTTTTATTTTTTTTTATATATAATTATATTATTTGACTGAATTGAATGACATTTTTTATACAAATTCTTAGAAACGAATAAAATTTGATTTCTTAGTGAAAATATTTCTAAGAAAAAATTTAATACATTCAGTTCTCATAAAATCTATCCTTGATAGCTTTCATAGAAGCATAAACTCCAATTATTGCCACTCAGCTGCTTAATAATGCAAGCAACTGTTAAAATTGAATAGAATTTAAAATCAATTGGTTTTGAAATCAAAATGTTTTCAAACAATTTTTTTCCACTCAAAATAATGGTTTCTATACAGATAAACGTGGTGAAAGTATTCAGCAGTAAACAAAAAAATTTCCAAGGAATCCAAAAAACCCTTTTGATTGTAAAGCAGTAGAGGATCCATGATTTAATTTTGGGGAGGGCTCCAGTCCAAAAGGTTTTTTTTTTCCCATATATATAATGATAATTATTTGGGAGAAAAAAAAGAAAGATAATAACTACCTATATGAAATGGTGTTTAAGTGATTCTTGAAGTCCTATTAAATGTAATTACTTGAACAATAATACTTTTCCATATAACATGGTTACATTTTACCACCTGGGGGGAAGATTTCAGCCTGAAAGTTTCCATCCTCCATCCCTGTAGTGCTCTAAAGCATATGTGATTTGCATTCTTACTCAAAAAGAAAAACCCTTTGTTCTATGAATGATTTTCTGGGAAGTATATAATTGAAGACGAATGAGGAGTAGTTTTCTACTTTTAAAGAGGCTATCTTGAGAAACTACTTTACTACCACCCGATCATATTTTAAAGCAATGTTCTCACTTGATCTTAAAATGCTTAACAGTTCTTGGGCTTTTGCTATGTGCTTAAAAGCTCATGGTTTGTAAAATAAATTGATGCCCCATATACCCAAAATCGGAGTGCTGGTGATGGCTGACCACATCATGAAGTGTCTTTGAGGACCTGAGTGTCAAATTGCTGTTGTAGGTTAATAAATAAATGGGAAGAGCAATACACAAGTAATGATAAGTATTATATAAATACATAGTTATGCTAGGTAAACAAGAAAGCAGACTAGATCCTCTTCCAAAAAATGTTGCTGTTAAAGTATAATCAAATATTCCAACAGCTATGGGATACTCTACATCTTCAGGAGAATAAATTTCTTCCCCTAGTTGCAGAAGAGAACTAGCCACATGGATTCTCAGAAGGGGGTTTCATGACACATGTTGTGGCATCAAAATTTTTGAGGAGGGCATATTTTGAATTTTTGAGAGGGGTAAATTTCGACGGGATTATGAATTTTCCGACTAAGGGATAAGGGGAAAACATAGAACAGATAGCAACAAGTGTAATTGTATATGATCTACGATTTTTCTAATTCTACCTTGCCTTGCTCTGTTTTTAAGAAAAGGTGGGAAGGTGGGAACAATAAAATATCTTGGGAGGAGGGAGAGGGTAGGTTCTTGCGCCATCGACCTGAGGGGAATGGGCACCCCTGACTAGCCGCTCTACAAGCTTTTATTTACTTGTACTGAAAATTGCAGTATGTGCAGCCGCAACATTCGTTACAGAAAATAAAAGTTTCCGAAAGATCGCCGCCTTAATAACGAGGTATTTAAGAAGGCGACGGCTGCCTTCACAATGAGGACTAGAGCTCGCAAGATATAAATGTATAGCCTCATCAGGTGTAAAATTATTGAAGAAGTTTGAACAGTTTCACTTTATATCAAGGGTGCTATGTACTTTCCCCGACAGCCGTGTTTTGAACAGGCAAGCAATAGTAATTTAATAAAGAAAAAAAGGCTCATCCTTAAAAAAATATAATTTATTCTAATTTAATAATTTTCAATTATCCTTAAGGCTAAAACATCATAAACTTTGGTTATATTACAAATGTTTCTAAGTTATAATTTAAAAAAAAAATTTGTTTAAACTTCGCAATAAATAGTATTGACATAGAAAACCAGCTCTATGTTTCTATGTAGCTAACTTTAAGCTAAGGATAAGTAATAAAATAAAATAATTAATGTCTACAATGATTGACAAATTAATACCCTCGAAACACTAATGGTCTCTGTTTTTTCTATCATATATAGTAAAAAAAAACATGATTATGTGCTAAAATATTTATCCTACTCAGATCGATGGAAGATACGAATCACACGTCGCCTTAATTGGCATATTTCACCTTGTTCAATTCTCTCCTTTTTACGATGGGAGGCTTCACAGTGCTGACGTACGCTTTTTTACTCTGCGGTTCCTCTGTTCGTAGCAAGTTGATAGGAACTTATACTGTTGGAAATTCTGTTTCCCCTAATGAACAAAATTGTCAAGACAATGTTATCAAAATTATCAATACGGTCAAATCCGTTGTTACTCCTTTAACAAGTACAATTGTAATGGACTTACAAGAAGAATTTACGAATAATTTATTGCATTCTCTATTCTACACTTTGGGACCACTCCAGGTATCTAAAAACTATAGAATTCCGTCAAATATCAATATTATTTTTACGGAGAATAATTTGAAATATAAAATATTTCATAATGAATTTTGGAAACCTTCGTATTATTATTTATTTTTTATGAAAAATCGCACTTCAAATGATGATATGTTTATTTCTGAGTTGTGGGATTACTACAAAGTATATAATGTATTTATAGCAAATTGTGATAGAGATTATTTAGAATCCTATAATCCTTTCCTCAAGGAAATGGAAAAAATATTGATTACAGATGTCCAAGCAAAGAAAATCCTCACCACAAGATTTTATAATTGGAAAAAAGCAAACTTTTTCTTCATATATCCTGGAGATCTGAATATTTCTGGAAAAGGCGATGTAACTTTAACAATGCGGTCATACGACGTATCAATTGTTAAGGTAATTTCAGATAAATTAAACATTTCACCAGTTTATTTGGGAACCGGAGCAAGGGAACAATTTGGAAAAACAGACAAAAATGGAACATTTTTCGGAACATACAAATGGTTGGCCAACGGAAGTGCCTATATGACCTGCGGTTCGCACTTCCTTAAATGGGATAGTCTCGTAAGTGACATTCCATTTTCTCACTACATCACGATGGATAAATTGTGTTTTACTGTTCCGGCGGTCGGTCAGGTACCGCATTTCAAAGCTCTTCTCAGAATGATTAATATTACAGTTATGGCCTCAATTTTAATAATGTTCTTCATAACTGGTTTTATTCATCGGTTTTTGAGATACTTGACTTCTAAAACAGGACTCAAAAAGAACTTAAATACGATTAATATTACTTTAACTATTGTCAGTATTCTTTTAGGCATGTCATTTCATTCAAAAATTCAAATGGCTTTCGAAAAAATTATCATCGGTTCATTACTTTTGATGAATTTTGTAATCACAAGTACAGTTCAAAGCATTTTGACAACGGTTTTGAGTAAGCCAGTGTATTACAAAAAAGTTGAAAGCAAAGAGGAATTGGTGAATTCAGGCGTAGAAATATGGTCATCTTCGAAGGATATTGTGCATGATTTAATGACAAATGGTTATGCTGGCGTGAATTTTAAGTTGAAGAAACCTAATACTCTTTCTACTGGGTTTAGTGTCGGATGGTTAGAACCCATCAATATCATGCTCGAGACTAAGTATTTCAAGTATCGTGATAATGACAATTACTTTACTAAAGAATGTCCTGTAACATATTCTATGGTCCATTTTTACAATAAAGGACTACCTTGTCAGAAGAGGATCAATCAAATGATCTCCATCTTAATTGAAACTGGCCACATAGTAAGATGGGCTAAAGAAACTTATCAAGTGAAAGCGAATAATCTTATGTATAAAAAAGTTAAAATTGTTGAGTCAATGACAATGAAGGCACTAACATTGGTGGATATGAAGTATATTTTTCTATTTTTTTGCTTTAGCTTAATCTTGAGTACTGTAGTATTTATTATGGAACTTATTTATAATTTTATTATTAAAAAAGTTAAAAGAATAAAAACAACAAACATTTAGGTAAATCTACTAAAGGATAATATTAAAATTATTATTACTATCTTTTTATGATTTTATATTATACAATTTTAAATTATGAAAAAAATATTCTCACGGATTAAAGTGACAAAGAGAAGAATGTTGAACAATTTTTTATTGATATATAATGGATAACATTAAAAAAAAAAATGTCCTTGAGGATGGACCTGGAGCCCAAAACATTGACAAAAAATATTTATAAATGGAAGAGATACCTACATTAAAAGACCCAGGATCACTTACAACTCTTCTTCATAAAATAAAAAGGGGCTGTGTATTATAATTTCTTTGAATAAAAATTCAATGAATAAAAAAAAAATGGACAAAAAAAGAGAATACCAGTAACAGAATTCTTAACTTTAGCTCAAACCATCCCAAACATCAAATAATTAACACAGCCAAGAACCTAATTCACAAATCAATAGAACTCACTGACAAACCTTACATCCCACAAGTAAAAACAGAAATATACAAAATACTTATCGAGAACTTTTACCCTATAAACTTAATCAACAAACTTTGGTACAGTCATTACATACAACACTAAACCATAACAAAATTAGAGCCAAAAAACAAACAATACAAAAAACACCAGAAGAAAACATTACAATAAGGAAACCTACACAGCAATTCATCACCCAATTTTTTGAAAAAACAAATCCAACAAACGAAAACAATCAGGATAACATAGCACAAACAAACAAAATGGACTTCAACTACTACTACAAAATGACATACATACCTGAACTCACTAACAAAATTAAAAACATGTTCAAAGATTATGACTTGACAGAAATTAAACTCGGACAATACAATAACAAGAAACTAAGCAGGCACATCACCAACACAAAAGATAAAATAGCACCAATAAACAAGAAAAATGCAATATATAAATTAAACTGTCAAAACTGCCCCAAAATCTACATTGGTGAAACATCCAAACAATTAGGAACTAGAATC